TCTTCCAGAAAAACACTCTCCCTGATATATTGTGAAGCCCTATTACTGAAGCCGAACAACCTGCTTTATTATTTGGAAGCTTAGTATTCTACACTAACAAAACCTGCACCTGAACACACCAAGACAAAAGGATCTCTCCAATCAAATCAGAGTCAAGAGGGATACTTACGGATCAAATTCATGAATGACACTCTCGAATCGTAACACAGAGAAAAGTCTAGTAGAAAAAGCTGCAACACAAAGAAAGAAATATGCAGAGGTGGTTATTTATTTATTTAGTGTATGGTTAATCATGGGGCTTCAATGATCTTCATATTAGTTATCTGCCAATTGGAAACGTAGAGGCTAGAAATGTTGAACCAGGCCAAGCCAAGGTTGATTATATGACTAGGACAGTGGTTCTCAACCTGTGGGTCGGGACCCCATTTGGGGTCGAACGACCATTTCACGGGGGTCGCCAAACAAGGCTGTCCGCCATTTTTCCCCTTTTCTTTGGCCACACCCCTGGCACCCGGTGATGTATAAGTGGTTGGGGGTCACAACATGGGGAACTGTATTATGGGGTCGCGGCATTAGAAAGGTTGAGAACCACTGGACTAGGAGAACAAAATGCCAAAGTTCAAAGTGGTATTCACATTAAAAAAAAACCTCAAGAGGTAATGGTTATAGCCATACATTACTCTTGCCAGCTAGAGTTTTTAAAGCACAGACTTACAAAGAATAGCTGCCATGGACAGAATCAGGAGCTTGAGGAGGGTGTCCTGTTTTTCGTATGACAAGCGGAGGAAACCTAACTTGGTCATTCTGCCAAAGGTAACCAAAGGTAACACTTACACACCTGAAAGGAAAAAAGAACCCAAAAAATTAAGTACAAACACATTCTTAAAGTCATCCTTATTAACACATCATAAGCAAATGCTGCATGGTGGGATAGCGGCACAGATTTCATTTTATCAGGATCAAACAGTGTTGTTGTTGTTTCCTCAAAACAATGTACCATCCATCCATATAAATTAGTGTAATTCTATTTGTACTTCCCCAGAATCCAACAGGAAATATATAAGAAATGTTCATTGCTTTGTTTAATTACAACCACCGTGATGGTTTAAGGACCTAAAAACAATCAATGCCAACTAAAACAAAGAACAGCTTTCTGAAGGAGACTTTCTACATTTTCACGCGTTCACAATAGATTCCATTGTTTAACCATTTTTAAAACTTCAAAAAGCAAAAGTTATGAAACACTATCCAACAGTTGCCAAAAACATTCAAAGCAAACATTTCAGTATTAACTTAAAATTATCTTTTTCCACCCAGTAGCCTATGAGGGAGCTGCATTAGCATAAACTTTATCTTCTGGATGTGGATTTCACACAAAAGTTCAGGTTTACAGAAGTTTGAAAAGGTTACGCTGACAAGAAAACTTGAGTTTATCTCATGCAACCTTTAAACACTGCTTAAAATAAATATTTGTTCGCTGGCCAAGTGGGGGATCTAAAAGAACATGTACTTCATGAAAATGAAATCAAGAAAGTTAATTGCTTAAAAAGCCAGGTGCACAGTTCATTTTTGCTAACAGCTGCTCCAGGAGAAAAGAGAAACATAAGTTCTAATTCAACTTCCTATCTGAAATCTACTTCTTTCAAATCAAGTTTCATTTGGGATTCAACAACAACCACAGATTTTCTTTTATCTTAAGCTACGTAGCAATGAATGAGAATAAGGTTTCCAATAAACATTCCAATAAAACTAGAATTATAAGGGGTCCTATTCAAGTGCTGCAGTTACTAAATTATAAATTTAAATGCTCCCAATAAAAATCAGAAACAGGGCTAGGAAGTATCAGTTTAGAGCAAATAAAAGGAGTAAAACATTATTAACATCCCAGGTAAAGTCCACCAGGCATAGGAGGTACTTTTCAAGCGGCTCTCCTATTATTTAGCACACAATTAAACTTTGAGGTTAGAATATAGTAGCATTCAAGACCACAAATATCCAGCCCAAAGTTGTTCTAAATATATACTCCACTGTGCATCTTAAAACACAACCGTGGTCACTAGAACTATTTAGACTCATTCTTATATAGCACAATACTCTGAGATTTAAAATCAGTGGAAAGTTGTCAAGATGATATTAGTCAACTTAACCAACTCTTGAACACTGACTTGCACAGGTTTCCTTTCGGATTCTCCAACTCAGTGCTGGAGTTGGGTAAATTGGCTCCTATTAGCTTGACAAACATAGGTGAAATCTCAGACTTACAGAAATACAGATTTGCACTAAATATTAAGAATGAAGTTCAGTGAAACAGATTCATAGCAAGTAAGCTCTTCTCTGTTGGGGTATTTAAACAAAAGTTGAATCAGCATCTGACAGAGAGGCTTCAGGATTATATAATATCCCAAAGTCCTTCCACATTTTAATTTTTAATAATTATAGATCTAGGGACATGATTTCATGGATTTTAAGAACCTTTGCGCATGCAAATAGTGCGTAAAGCAACGACCTGGATGCATTTTTGGCTCCCTTGAAAAAATGGGAAATATAATATACCCATTCCTTATATGCAGCATAAGGAACTACTGGATAGAATCAATGCGAAAATATCAACTTGCTTTTTTTTATAGTTAATAAGATCAACTATCTGCAATGTGTGGGAAATGGCTAATCTGGCTATTCTTAGCATCTAGCCAGAGAGCTTTAAGCACTGCTAGCAGTGATTTTTTTTAAAAAAAAAACTGAAAATCCATCCTCCTGGATCCTTCTGGATGCCAACCATACACAACTGACTGTGACACCCGGGGACAAACAAAGCTGTCAAACACTGAGGATGATGAAGATCTACCTTACAGGGAGGTAGAAATATCAAGGAAAGTGAAAAACGTTCCTCGGGGCCTGAGGCAAGAAAGAGACCGGAAGGACCAAATAAAAGGGGGGCCCCGTGCTAGAGTTCAAATGGGTGGAGAAATCGCAGCTTGGGGTTCTACAAAGCTTTACAAGAGAGAGAGAAGTCGGGTGCAATGAGACCGTTAGGCTACTCCCCGCCTCCTTCCTGGCAGCGTCCCGTCCACCTTCCTCCTTGCGGAGGGGCCGTGGCTGCTTGCGCACGCGTTGCTCCAGGGCACCCCGAGCTCTGCTTCTCGCTTCAAGGGCTCGGGGGAGCTAGGGAACCGGGGTTTAAGCTGACGCTGCTTCAACGCGAACGTGTGAAGTCATCCTGCCCGCGTGTTCAGACTTCATTCATTCTCTGAAGGAGAGCTTTCGGGCGAAGCCCATCTCACACACGCCTCCCCGTTGCCTGGGAAGGACGGGCACCTTATTCCCCGAGGAGCTACTTTTCCAGCTGCAAGGCTTGGGGGAGGGGGGGGGGAAGCGGGAGATGCGGCGGCTGATGCGGAAGGAAGCCGCGCAGCGCGATCGGCGGCCTCGGGAAGCCACCCCTCTTTCCTTCCAGAGGCCGCCTTAGGCCGATCGCGCGTGGGGTGATCGGGGGGGGGTATCCATGACCCCCCTCCCCAGCCGTGATCCCACCGCCCAGCCGTTGCCGCCCTCCTCTCCCTCAGGCTGCAGCCACGCCGCCTTCCCCTTCCTCGCCTGAGACGCCCTCCGGGCCAGGGTGCCTCACCGGGGACTCAGAATTCGCTCTCCGCCCCGCTCCCTCCGCCATCCGCTCCACGCGCGCCCACTCCCAGCTCCGCAGCCCGCCCGCTTCCCCCGAGCCTCGAACGGTAGATCACGACTGGCCCAGAGGCACGTCGATCACGACGGTGGGCCCGCCCCACGGAAAAGAGGACTGGGCCGAAGCCACGTCCGTCAGCAAAGCGGAAGTTCGAAGGACGAGCGCCGCCCAGCTCGGTCTCCGATGAGAGGGGAGGCGGGCCGACGGGGTTGGTTGTCCTGAAGGAGGAGGGGAGCTTGGTTGAGGTGCGAGTAGTGACGTGTCGCTCTGGGTAACGGGGATGAGCGAGACAGAGCTCCGAGGGGGCGTGGCCAGAGGCTTTCACGTGGCAGGAGGCGGCAGGGCGAGTTCGCGGCCGGGAAGAGCCGGGCCGGGTTCCCAAAGTGCGTCTGAACGGCCAGGTTTGAGGATGCGCGAGTTCTTGCAGCTTTTTCCCAGTCTGATGCCCTCCAACTGGGACAAGTGCGACTGGCAGAATCCCGTCAGGAGGAGCGCACCAGCTGAGCATTAGGGCATGCCTACTTTAATGAAAAAAAGGACTAGGGGTGACACGATAGCAGACATCTCTTGCAAATGTATTCTTTACAGCAGTGTTTCTCAACCTTGACAATTTTAAGGCATGTGGACTTCAACTCCCAGAATTCCACAGCCAGCAATGCTGGCTGTGGAATTCTGGGAATTGAAGTCCACATGCCTTAAAATTGTCAAGGCTGAGAAACACTGCTTTACAGGGTAATATTCATAATTTCCAAATTCTCTAAATCAGCCCTGAGCATTCTGATCTTCTGCTCCTTCTATTCAGTTCTTCCCTAATGACTGCTAGTTTTTTGAAAACAACATATAAACAACTGTAATAAATAATAAAATAAGTTTAGGCACTACATGAACAACAGCAGCATTTTCTTCCTCACCTGTCTCTACCTTTCACTCCCTTTTTTTTTTTGGCAAATGAATTTATTGGATTTATCTGATGATGTCTATTGGCCAGCCTCTGAAAAACGCTGCAGAAAGGCAGAAATTAATCTATTCAAAGCAGATGTTCCTATGCCATTTTTAAAAAATGTATATAGACATCCCTAGTAGTTTTTCAGCTTTTATGCAATTCTCCCTTATTCCCTGGAAACCATAATTTTATGGTTTCGGCTCCTATCTGCTGCTTTTGGCCATAATGCCACTTTGGGTCATTTCCCAAGCAGAAAAGTTTGAATCAGGAACAGGAATTCTTTGAACCGCTTTGCAGAAAGTTTTTTGTTTTTAATTCTGCCCTTCTCCCATCCCCCTCAAAATGAGTTTCATGATTCAGTCACACAATCACTCTTTATTTTTAATCCCATTTTCATTTAATGGTTCAGTGTGAAAATACAAGAGAAAACATTTATCTGTAGACTGACTTCAGTTCTACAAAAACCAGAGGGCTTTTTTTTTTTTTAGAAAAAAAATCTTATAATGTTTAGCCATACAGAAACTGACATGCATAAAGAATACTGCCTAAGAGCAGGACCACATTATACTTCGTTGTGCATACACAATTACATATGTAGACACACGGACAGATGAATACATATGAAGATCACATATCCTGAGCTGAGGAGTCCTTAATTTCAATCGCAATTACAATCACACAGGAGCACTTTGGTGTATATCATTCTCACTCAGCTGGGACAATTATTCCAAGTCAGGCTTCCTAACAGCATTTGAGTCGGAGGCCTTAAAACTGACATCACCAAATTCTCTGCTCTGCATACTGGGCTTAGCACCGATGGCCTGTATGTAGCCTTGTGCAGAAGCCCTGTGGAAAACAACAACACCTATTTCTCCATAGATATCTTTCGGAATCTCCCTTGTGTACATGTCCCTCACCACCACCACCCCCAAACAAAATCCATCCCCAGGATCCATAAATATGTTCCTTAGAAGCATTATTTCTTGCAAGATTTTAACAGTATATTGCCAACTTTACAACCCCAGACACAAGAATTAACACGTTTTCGCTTAGTGCCTGACTTTACCCGTACACTTTTCAAATTTCCCTTTCAGAGTTCAGAAGGTGCTTTTCAAAAGCTCCAAGGACATAAGTAAAAAAAAAACCAAAACGATACAATCTGTCCTTAAGATTAGGAATTTGTTGCATCCATTAAACGCTGATCCCTTCAAAGTAAAAACCAAATAAAGTTAAGAGAGGCCACCAGATGCCAGGAAGAGGAAGAGCCCTCCCACCCAACATCTTAACCTTATGCAAGTGTTACATGATCCACTTTTCATTTCAGCACACAACCGGGAGGGGGGGGGGATTACAAAATCCTGACCTGAGGTAACCATATAAAGAACTACGATCATTGAGAAAAATCCAACACTTGTGGTAAAGACCCCATCAGCATCAGAAAGCTACGACAATATGCATTACAAAAACCATTCATCCCGGGGGGGAAATGGGGGGGGGGGAAGGTAAGGAAATGTACAAAAAAGTGCACAGAAACAGGCCCATTACACACTATAAAAACAAGCCAAGGAGAACCTGGCATCCGAAATAAACTCACAAAAGTGTTAAAAATCCAGGTTCTTCCCACCCACTCGCCCGCCCGCCAGATGTATTTTGTTAACCAACCTCCGACGGGCTTAAAAGAGAGATCACAAGGGGAATTGCACAAGCCTCCCGCCCGCCCTCCTCACAATCACAGAAGCACGTGTTGTCTGAAGGGTTCTCCTCCTTCCTCCCTCCCTGCCTTGGCTCAGTGTGCCAGTCTAGCAGGCGAGGAGCGTGGCGAGGGCAGTCGATCAGCAGACGAAGAGGTGCTCAGGCTGGACTGAAAATAAACCGTCTTGTGGAATAGCTTGTTGCTAAGGAAGACGACCAAGGAAAAGAGGCGCAGTTGGAAATGGCTGAAACAGAAGACAGCCTCGCGTTAGTTTCTTAACCTCTCTTAAGGTCCCCTTTCGTTCAGGATACTCCGTTAGTAAGTGGTGATGTACTAGGACAGTGGTTCTCAACCTTTTTAATGCCGCAACCCCCAACCGGTCGTAAGTCGAGGACTACTCAACCGGTTGTAAGTCGAGGACTACTCAACTAGTGCAGCACCGTTTGCAGAATGGGAATTTTGGCGGGCTCAGCAGGGCAGAGACAGCCTGGACAATTCCTATTGGCTTTTGAAAGCCAATAGAATTAGACTCTATTCAAGAGAGTCTATTCTATTGGCTTTCAAAAGCCAATAGAATAAAAGGGAGGAGCACAGCTAAGGAAAGGGAGGGGGGGGGAATGGCGGACTGCGTTGTTTGGCGACCCCCGTGAAATGGTCGTTCGACCCCAAATGGGGTCCCGACCGACAGGTTGAGAACCACTGTACCAGGATGAGAAATAGAAAATGTCTACGAACTGTTTTTGCTAGGAATACTAGGATCCAATTATGGGAAAGAGAATGAGTATTTAATATGACCGCTTGGCAACTGGTGTGTATTTCTGACAGTTGCAGTGCCCCGGGATCATGCCATCACCTTTTGTGACCTTCTGACAAGCAAAAATCATTGGGGAAGCTAGATTTGCTTTACAACCGGGTTACTAACAACTGCAGTGATTCACTTAACAACCGTGGCAAGAAAGGTCAGAAAACGGGACAAAACGCACACAACAACTGTCTTGCTTAGCAATGGAAAATTGGGGCTCCGTTGTGATTGTAAGTCGAAAACTACCTGTATGCTGCATTGGGGGCCTTTCAACGTACAAAATCTGCCTAATCCCGATTAATGATGGCAGAGGACAGTTCTTACCATTTTTCTCTACTGCTGAAATCTTTTGTCAATAACGCAGCCTCGTGGCAAGCTGGGCGGCAAAGCAATTTAATAAATAAATAATAAACAAAACTTTTAGATCTAGGTATAAAAGTTTATAAGTAGCGCAGGTTTCTAAGTGGTACAATTTTTTTTCTGCTTGCAGTGAGTTTCCATAGCTATCGGGGCAAAAAATGGTATACAGTATAATCTACTTCACTGGGGCAGAAGCCTTTACACATATAGGTAGTCCTTGAGTTACGTCTGCTGAAAAAGGAAATGGATACCTACTATGCTCTTCCTGGTGTCTTCGATTCATTGGCGCTGATAATAAATAGAGGAAAAAGAATGGAGAACAAGCAGCCACTGTGGGATAGGGAGATGGGGAGAGAAAACAGAGGATGTTTTGTACAGATCTCTGCAGACTAAAAAGGGAGAAAGCATAAACTACAGCAGTGTTTCTCAAACTTGACAATTTTAAGGCATGTGGACTTCAACTCCCAGAATTCCACAGCCAGTGTTGCTGGCTGTGGAATTCTGGGAGTTGAAGTCCTCATGCCTTAAAATTGTCAAGTTTGGGAAACACTGAACTACAGAATAGGAACACAATTCCATGTTACATGCAATTGGCTAGATGAAAAGTCTATTCTCAATGCAGATTTAGGACCGGCCACTAGTGCAGAGGTGAGTTTAAACCTTTCTATTTTGGTGCAGATTTTTTTTTTTTACATCCTTAAATTAAATAAATTTCAATGTCATTATTAGCATTTATGCTACCAAGAAATTAATTAATCGCACTATGGTTTTTAAATTATAGTAATCAGCTTAGGGCTACACTTAAAATAAGTATTATTGTTGTGATAAACTCCGGCTAGAGTAGACCATGTCTTAACAAGATCTGAGAATTCAAGCACCTACATACATGCACACGCAGACATGTGTGTGAGAAAATGAAGAGGGCACTATAGTGAATGAACTTGTTTTTTCCAAATGATGTGCTTTAAGTTTAGGAGATGTCAGACTGTATTTATTGACCTGTATGCTCCTTCAATCACTGAAACAATTGCTCATACTAAACCAAAAACGTGGTCTGAGTTTTTATGTACCTTTTCTTAATTTTAATTGTTTTTATATTTATCTTTTACTGTTTATAAACTGCCCAAAGTCGCCTTATTGATGAGATGGGCGGCATATACATTTAACAAATAATTAAATACAAAATAACAAAAAACAATCCAAATATCCAGCATCCAGATGCTGTACCCACATCCTTCTTCATACAGCTTGCCACTTAATATAGCTTCTCCTATATCACAACAATTTATTAAATTTATATACTATCCATGTTTTTATATAGAAGAGTCCCTCTTGTCCCCTACTGCTGACACATGGAACGGCTCAACAAATCGGCAGCAGAAAGAGCAGCATCCAAGTTCTGCCCAGATTAATATTCCGGCATAATTGAAAACAGGAAATAGTACTGTACACTACTTATAAGAAAGTGTCTTGGTTTTCTTGCACTGCTATCATGGAATATAAAATAGGAAAACACATCATGGATGTCCAGAAGAAAAAAAAACATACATCTCAATTAAACCTTCATGGGCTCACAACAATATCCCATGACCAGCTTTTCAAAAGCTTTGCTTCTATCACTGTTCCAAGGAGTTTTCTTTTTCTCCTTCCCTATTAACATTTACACCAGGTCTCTTTTCATTAATTCCCCACCTACTTGTCCTCCTCTCCCTCCCACAGAGTAGAAAAGGGATGGCATGACTCCAGTTTCTCAGTAAGTCACCTGATAATGTAAGAAGACTGCATTGCAGTGAGAAAGGCCAGTGGTAACCCAAATCCAAAGTAATAAGGCCAGTTCCTTTCAATGTTGGATAATCGTTGATGCATTTCAATGCCTAGCAAGAGAAAAGCCCAAAACACATGGTTCAAAGCATTAATGCTGTGATATAATACTGGCTTTCATATTCCAGGAATTACCATCCCAATATTTTTTCCTAGATATCTTCATAGTCTAGGAAGTATTATGTAAATTCACCTCCATCCCATATATCAGTAGTTTATTGATCACTGGTGATAGCAGAAAACACCAGCCACCACAAGCAACAGGCAGAGAATAAAATGTACTCTTTAATTTTTCAGCCCTGCTTCTGCCACTGGAGAACTCTGCAAAGATCCTGTAGGAAGAGTGTTACTGGAATTTGTATACATTTGCACCAAACAACCCCAGCACTGAACAACAAAAGAAGATTTTTTTTTTTAAATTACACCGTGGAAAGTCAGCAGGACTTACCTTTATTAAACCAACGGTATTCAAAGCAATATAATGAGTAGAGCAGGGACATATGAAGCAGGCTAATTAACTGCCCAATGATATCAATAGGAAACAGGCTGACAATCATCCCCTGGGGAAAGTAAAACAAATTCAGTTTGAAAGAGCATTCCCTTCCACAGAAACCTCAAATTCTGTACCTTGTTAAAAAGTCCAGGAAACTAAACAAGTGAAGAGACAGTACAGGTAGTCCTCAACTTACAACCAATTGCTTAATGACCATTTGCATTACAATAGATTCAAGTTACTTACAACGTTATGACTGCTGCATAACCCCTCCCCCATGGTCACATGATTGTATTTCTGACCCTTGGCAATTGGCTCACATGTATGACCAGTGGCAGCTTTGTGACATTTATTGCAGTTTTCTGGCAAAAAACATCCATTGGATAAAATGGCTTAGTACCTACCACCACACTGTCTCTTAATGACTGCACATGCTTAACCATGACTAAAAACAATCATATAATTGAATCTGGTCATATGCTGCCTCGACGTACGACTGAAATTCCAGTCCAGTTATGGTCATAAGTCAAGGATTAACTGTATATACTTAAGTCTCGTCTTTCTTGGTACACTCTGCTCCACTCCCAGTATTAGAGCATTGGATCCTAGGTACCAGGGCAACAAAGTCCATGATCATCATTCTTGGCTAGAAGCCCAGCTATGCACATTTGAGCAACAAACCTAGTCTGTAGTTCTTTCATGCATGGCAGGAGGACATGATTCCAAGAGCCGAGGTGGTGCAGCAGTTAGAGTGCAGTACTGCAGGCCACTTTAGCTGACTGCGTTCAGCAAGTCAGCGGTTCAAATCTCACCGGCTCAAGGTTGACTCAGCCTTCCATCCTTCCGAGGTAGGTAAAATGAGGACCCAGATTATTGGGGGCAATGTAAAATATATATATACATTGCTTACTGGTGTACACCGCTTAGAGAGTGCTTGCACTTAAAGCGGTGTATAAGTCTCATAAATAAATAAATAAACTCTCCGTTATAAACAGCTTTGAAAAAGTAGTAGTGTTAACCTATCCCCCCAAAGGTTGTGACTGGGAGAGAACTACCACCTAAGTCAAACTGGCTAGTGACCTCTTTGTAAAAATATGGCCAAATTCATTCCTTTTTTCTTTCACAGTCCTCTCTGCTTTTTCTCTACCTTGGGCTCTATTTCTTGTTAAGATCTGCCGAATGTACAGTTCTGTCCTTCAAATACCAATGTCTATTACTCTTAGTGTCTGGATAATCTGGGTGGAGTGTTTTAGGCCCATTCTTACCTGGATGAGAAAGAGAGCTTGCAGTAAGAGGTTAAACAACATGTCGGCAATGATTTTACTGACACTGGGAAAGGGCTGCGCCTTCCTTCCTGACACCTCAAATGCCAGATCAGCAATGTCCTGAAACAGAATAACCAGACTTACTTCTGAATAAAATGGAAGAAGATGGTTGTCTTGAACATCCCTCAAAAAACACAGGACAATACAGGTAGTCCTTGACTTATGATCACAACTGAGACCAGAATTCCCATTGCTAAGCAGGGTGGTTGTTCAATGAGTCACGCCCAATTTTAAGAGCTTTTCCGCCATGCTTGTTAAGCGAATCACTGCAATTGTTAAGTGAACTAGGCTGTCATTAAGCGGATCTGGCTTTCCCCCTTTGACTTTACTTGTTGGAAACTGGCTGGGAAGGTTGCAAATGGCAATCACACAACCCCAGGACTCTGCAACCATCAGAAATATATTCCAGTTGCCAAGTACCCGAATTTCGATTGCGTGACCATGGGGGTGCTGCAACAGTCATTGAGAAGAACAGTTGTAAGTCACTTTTTTCAGTGCCGTTGTAACTTTGAATGGTCACTACACACGGTTGTAAGACAAGGACTACCTGTGTATCAAGGTATGTCTTAGGTAGGGAGCCAAAGAAGCAGTAGGTCAACAAGTTATTGATTTCCTCAAAAAACGACTTACCTGAAACCAAATGGCATTGACCACTTTACTGAGCACAAAGAGTGGGAGGACCCAAAGGGCACTGAAGATGGAGGTCAGGATAAATTCCAGCCAAGACCAGACATCACCATGCAATGACGGATCACCTTCCAAAGCAGAGAGAGCATTTTCAACAGTAGTAAGTAAAAAGATTCATTACAATTCAGGTGCCTCACCTGAATTGTTATATCAGAAAAATAAAATGCACCTTCCTTCTACAAATCTCCTCTACTGGTCACAAGCTGATAGCAGATCGGTAAATGTAGCTAGGACCATAATTATTGCCTCCTTTCATTCAAGAGTATTATTTCACCTTTACAAAAATAGTACTGTGTTCCAGTTTTGAAAATTTGAGGCCAAGGGAAGAGAAGAGTACAACAAATTATACGCTTCTCCATCAAAACATAATTCCCTAGGCTAGATAAACAATTATTTATTTGACAAATGCCTTAAACGGTAATATACTTACCAATTACATGTGCTGTTGCTGACTGAAGCAGAGGTATGAAAACCCGATAGAACAAGAGGAGGCTAAGCTAAAAAATAAAATAAAACAACAACAACCAAGAAGGAATAATTCAGTTTTATTCACTATTTTTAAATGTGCGTGCTACTATGGAGAAAGTAAGTTTTCTAAGATCCGGAAGGTGTAATCTGTTTTCTATAACTGATCTTCAAACCTGATATCTTAGCACTTATTTCATGGTTTTCTCCAAGTACATATACAAGTAAATATATGAATAATTTATCTTTACAAATGTGACAGCTCCAGCACATGCATCAATAATTATATGGGAAAATCATAATGGGGGGGACAGCAAAAGGAAACAAAAAAATTCTATAAACATATAAAATTCTTTGGATCCAAAGCCAAAAAAGATATAAAACCACATCCCATGTCCATAAGAACTCCCTTAAACAATTTGCACCTTTTCTAGGAGTTGCATAGTGCTGTAGTTGCACAATTCCAGTAAAAGATGTACTTCAGATGACAAAAATCGATGAGTGACCTCTTAACTCACACACATATTTCCTGGGGTTGCATGGCTATTTTTATTTATATTAAAATCTGATTGGGATAATACTGTATCTACCAAGGCTAAATAAATGTTAACTATCCCTTATCTGGGAAGTAGTAATGATTTCAATCACTATTCATTTGCTTTTTCAGGTTGAAGCATTATCCAATTCTAAACTTCAAGCAGGTAAGCATATTTGCAGAAAAGAATAAAGCAATTGATTCAATTAAGTTGCTGTTTTTTAAAAAAGAAGCAAAATTATTCTTACCCAAAATACACCTCCATTCCATGCACAACACTGAAGTATTCGGCTTACTATCCGGGGTTCACTAAAGAAAAGTAGAAGAAAGTGTAAAAACCAAAACTACATGTATTTTCAAAAAACACATCTGTTTAACACAGAAAGAGAGGGGAATGCTTCAGATAGGGCAGCAGATTCTTTCAGCTTGGTGGTTTCAGTCTCTTTGCAACCCTAAAAATGCAAATGTATAAATTTCTATTATCCTCATTAAATTTCAAATTGTTGGGAGCCTCATTTGGAAAAAAAAGGCGTTTCAAAAGTTGGATTTTTACATTCCAGTTTTTCTTCTTTTTCTCTATTATTAGGTAAGCCTATACATTCACTGTTTAACTATTCAATGTCATACAGATGTACATGTAAAACTAGTTGTTATTTAGCACCTAAGATAAATTTGCAGACTTTTTCTATTTCTTTTTCACAATGTCAATTTTTTTAAAACATGAATTACAACCACAGAAGCTACTGGGCAAGAGACTAAAAATAGTATCTTAAAATCTTCATTCCAAATCTCTTCCTACAAAGAATCCAGTGCCTTTCGTGATGAAACTAAACAGAACATAGAACATAGTTGGTCCCTCAAATGACACTTTTAGAGAGTTCCACATAAAAGAATATTTCAAAATCCTCATTTAATTTGGCCAATATAAAATAAAAATCCCTACCAAAGTTTGCAGGATCCAGTTTGTACACAGACTATGTTAGCAGATGTAAGTCAACTTCTAGGGGGTTGGTACCATTTTGGTGGTGGCTCAATGGTTAGAATGCAGTATTGCAGGCTATTCAGCTGACTGCCAACTGTCAGCAGTTCGAGTCTTACCAGCTCAAGGCTGACTCAGCCATCCATCCTTCCGAGGTCGATAAAGTGAAAACCCAGATTGTTGGGGGCAGTAGGCTGACTCTGTAAACCGCTTAGAGAGGGCTGTAAAGCGGTATATAAGTCTAAGTGCTGTTGCTATTGCTATCTGGATGGTAAAACACTGATAGATGATTACTGTTGGCACGACGCAATCCCCAAGATTGGAACTTACTTCTCTTGCTTCCTCTCTTCGCTTTGTGCTCTTCGCTGGGCAAGCACACTAGTTGCTCTTCTCTTCCGCTGCTCTTCCCTTTTTTGCTGGATCCGAGCATCCAGCTTGGAGATTGTACAGATCCCCCATATGGAATCTTTAATTCCCTAGAGACATAAACACATTGTTTCTGCTGATTTTTCTCTAAATGAGATGTCTAAGCAAATACCCAGTGATTTTCTAGTTAAGTCTAATTCTTTAAACCAAGACTGGACAATCACTTGTCAGAAATGGTATAAAGTTTCCTGCCCGAGCAGGGGATTGGACTCGAAGACCTACAAGGTCTCTTCTAACTCTATGATTCTGTTCTGTTACTCTGTTATTCATTATCTGATCACTAATATATTGGCATCACAGTTCAGGAACTCTCTCTTTCCATTTACTAAGAATCATAAGGTTAGACACATGGATACTATACTTGAGCTTAATCAAAAGACCGAGAAACAATCACAGAATTGGTACTGAGATGGATTTTACTTGATAAGTACACATAGTTCAAGTTTGTGAATAAAGTCCTAAAACCACCCTTCTTCATACTGCCAAAGACAGATTTATGGGAGTTTACATAAATATTAGTGGCTGAAACACTCTGAAATCCAATCTTATCTTAAATGAACTGTCATGTATAACAACAAAAATAAAAGGAATCAAAAGACTGAGAAACAATCACAGAATTGGTACTGAGATGGATTTTGCTCAATAATTACACATAGTTCAAGTCTGTGAATAAAGTCTTCAAATTTCCCTCCTTCATACTGCTAAAGACAGATTTATGGGAGCTAACATAAATATTAGTGACTGAAACACTCTGAAATCCAGTCTTATCTTAAATGCACAGTCATGTATAACAACAAAAATAAAAGGAAGTGCTTACCCTGATAAGATCATTAAGGAAGATCTTGACACTATCTGCCATATCTATGCCAGCATTGTCTCGGCATCTAAAACTATCAACTACAAGGTATAGGGAAGAAATAACCCCAAGCTTGTCTCATTGTGAAGACATGAGAAGTTGGTAATCTGACAAAAGAACAAAAAGATACCTATAAGTAAAGCAATGAAATCAATGTTATGATTATAAATGGAGTATATTTGTCCTTAATCATTCTTAAATTCATATAGATCCCGAAAATGTTTACTTTCCGAGATCATATTAAATCACTTTAAATGTGTTTCTTCCAGACTACAATAAACATCAGTGTTTAAGATATTCCAAGAAGAAGCAACCACAAATAACACAATGCTCCAAATATTTAAGTCTCACGTTTGGGGTGTGGATGATACAATATATAAAATCTATGGTAGAAACATTTGATGAAATCACAATAACTCAGCAGGGATAGTTTCCATTAATTTATTTATTTTATTTATTTATTAAAATTTATAGACCGCCCCACTCCCGCAGGACTCCGGGCGGCTAACAATAAAAACACAATATAACTTAACAACACAAACAATACAATAACATTCATCCAGGGGTCACATTTTATAAACCCCAGGCCTGCCGGAAAAGCCAGGTCTTAAGCAGCTTGCGGAAAACCAACAGGGTGGGAGCGATCCTAATCTCTGGGGGGAGCTGGTTCCAAGACGTGGGCGCCATCACAGAGAAAGCCTTCCCCCGCGGCCCCGCCAAATGGCACTGCTTGGCCGACGGGACCTGAAGGAGGCCCAGCCTGTGGGATCTAACCGGACGAAGGGAACTATGAGGTAGTAGGCGGTCTCGCAAATAGCCTGGCCCTTAGCCATATAGAGCTTTAAAGGTAATAACCAACACCTTGAATTGGACCCGGAGACCAATAGGCAACCAGTGCAGCTCGCGGAGGATAGGTGTAACGTGGGTGTACTGTGGAACCCCCGCTATCACTCGCGTGGCTGCATTCTGGACCAACTATAGTCTCCGAATACTTTTCAAGGGTAGCCCCATGTAGAGCAATTAAACACAAGTGAGACCAACACCCACCCACAAACATGCCAAGCCTATTCTCAGCCCCAATGAGATGCCAGCCCAAACTATTCTGGTTCTCTAGTTTACTTTCTGTTGTTTTCTTTCTTACTTTATATTATTCATTTCTGTTTCTACAAATTAATAAATATAAATGTACATTTTACTTAGCATTCAAATATTTTTAACAAAAAATATCACAAAATACAAAGTATCCACAACTAAAATTTTATCTTCCAAACATCTGTCTTTTCTCATGTTTTTCAAAGTTCTTACAACAACTGCAACAATGTTTCAGCATCACCAAACTACTACTGACAAAAGTAAACCAAAGAAAACATTAACTTAAGAGTGCAGGTGATGGCAAAGCAAATGGTTACATAGTATGAAAAGAACTTTCCAAAGAAATCAGACTGGATGCCAATGAAATAAGAATATGGATCTTTTATTAACAAACATTTAACTGGACAGTTTTTCATTTTTGTCTGTGCAGTTAAAATACAATTTAAGATATTTATCTGATACATGCTGTTTTTTTTAAATATAGGACCATCAATATACAAATCAATTTACAGGCTAATATGAGTTAGACAGTAGTACAGTACAGAGAATTAACATTATAGAATAATATGTAGAAGAATTGCAAAATCAGTTGCCCTGAGATATTTACACCAAACTATCATTAATGTTTAGTCTAGTTACTGCAACTATCAAATTATAATTTATGATTGGCTAAAAACAGAATCATAAATCATGATTTGTTTTGAAATGATGGTTTGTGCAAATCATTCAGCTGAATGAAAAACTGATGCTTAGATGTTCAGCCTGATAGAAACTACTGATTTACAGAAGGAAAGGGAAAACAGACAGGTTACTCTAATCAATTGTTCATATGTTTGGGAGCCCAAAACAAGTTTAATGTTGTGAACATAAAGATTTAATTTTGCCGGACTAAACTTAATGATCATAATTCTAGGGTTAATTTCTAGAATAGCATCAAGGAACAATCTGAAGAGGTGGGAGCAAAACTGCTTATAGGGATTAAAATAATGATAACCTGAAGTAAGATGTAAGATTTTGTGAAGAGGTAGATGCCAGGACAAAAATTAATTTGATTACAAAATTCAACTAAAGATAATATGATTATTCATAATATTCCTTTCATAACAGAGGATCTGGATGCCAAGCCTATAGGTTTGGGAAACTAATATAGGGTTCTGGAACATCAGGCTATGACCTCTTCTATAAATAGCAATATTTATATTAACAATGTGAAGAAACTTACTTTCTCATAAATCGACTCAGATCTCAACAACAGTCAATATAGATTACATAAAGTATAAATCAATACATGTACTGAATATGAATCCAAATTAACTCACGAATGGTTCATATTTTAAACCAGAATTACTTTATCTGCAGTCGCAGTAATAAAACTTAGATGAAAAAGATAAATTACAAACTTTCAAAAGTCTGAGATTATTTGTAAGGAAAGCTCAGTCTCAAAGAACTGTTCAACTCTAGTACTTTGAGATATAACGTCAAGCAGCCCAAAACATTACAATATGTAGGAACCTCTCACTAAATCATGTCATTTGGGAACAGAACTAGTACTACTTGCTGTTCAGTACTCATTCATCTTCTTGCCAATTGCTCCAGAGAACTATGTTTAAAATAATGACTGAAATGCAATGGAAATCATGCTTCAATTTGGAAGTACTATGCTACTTTGTAGTACATGTTTATTTTAACTTTATTGAAGCACTGTCAGAAATGTCTGTGTTATCGCCCCAATTCCCAGAACAGAAATATCCACTTCTGAAAAAATCATATATTAACTAAAATTACTGGACAATCTCGTAGGTGCAGCAAAGCCTGAAAAAAATAACTTCATGACTGATAGTTTCTAATGGGCTTCTAATGACTGCACTAGACTGCTTCTGATAAGGAGATTAACTCAGAAGATTGTTCTTGTTTGATGTGCTGCAACAGACCATCTCTCTACTGACATCTGAACTGCTTGCTAACAATGTTTATTTGCTTGCTGAATGAGAAGGAAACTTTTTCAAATGGAGTGCCTTACAATATTATAAACATTTTCCCCGCGGGGTGGGGAAAGCTTCAAAGTAATGGATCAAACAGAAACAAAACAGAAGGGAAAAGCTTCAAATCCAAAAAGCATTGGAGTACAGCAATGTTGGATTGCAAAGCAGGTTCCAAATTTAAAGATTTGGAGGTAATATGAAGAAGAGAAGGAAATGGCATGGGGAGAAGAAATGGAGAGTCCAATACATGTAGTCCTTGACTTACAACCACAATTGAGCCCAAGTGCTCAATTGCTAAGTGAGACATTTGTTGAGTGAATTTTGCCCCATTCTACTTTTTTGCCACCGTTGTTAAGTGAATCACTGCAGTTGTTAAGTTAGTGACCCGGTTGTTAAGTGAATCTGGCCTCTCCATTGACTTTGCTTGTCAGAAGGTCACAAAAGGGGAATCACATGACCCCGGGGCACTGCAACCATCATAAATAGGAATCAGTTGTCAAGCATCTGAATTTTGATCGTGTGACCATGGGGATCTACAATGATTGTGTGAGTCATGGTCATAACTGACTTTCTTCTGTGCCACTGTTAACTTCGAATGATCACTAAACGAACTGTTGTAAGTCGAAGACTACCTATAGCAGAGAGTCTCAGTAGCTCAGGGCTGAACTGCAGACAATGTTGTTGTTACCTAGCTGAGTAATGAAATGCCTGCAAGTAAACAACCAAGCTGAGAGAGAACCAAGGACTCCCCAGAAATGGAAAGATTGTGAGTGATGGGCTGATGTTATTATTATCAATCAGACATGAAAACCGGTGAGGCCAGCTGCTTTCTTTTGGCCCAACCTACCTCACAGGGTTGTTGGTATTGTGAGGAAAACAGGAAGCAGGAGCATTAAATACCACTGCCTTGATTTGTACAAAATAAAAATCAATTATTATTATTATTAATAATTATTATTAACACTATTAATACTATTATTACTATTATTGTTATTATCATTATCATTATTCCTGCAAAGGAGTCTTGCGCGTAGTAGCATCGGTGAAAACAGATTAAGGCAAGGGGCCCCGTCCAGGTGTCTCGGGAGGACTACGACTCCCATCATCCCCATGCACTACCCCTTGCTGGCCAGGGGTCGTCAAAGAGGCGGCCCGGCCTCCCTCGGCAGAAGCCGCCTCAGACAATGGCATAAGGGGGGAAATAGACCCGCCCGACCTGAGGGGCCACAGCAGGGGGGCATGACAGGAGCGGCGGGGCAAGCGGTGGGCGATGGGCTTTGTAGTTAGGCCCACGACGCGAAGTGGGAGGGGGCGAGAGGATGCCAAAAACGGGGAAAGCGAAGCGGGGAAAATCCGCAATCCGTGGAAGCCCAAGCCCGAGATAGATCCCCGGAGAGAAAAGCGGGAGACCGCTCCCTCCTACAGCCAGCCACCCCAGACGGCCACCGATACTTGCCAGCCCAGGCCTCCCGGGGTCCGCGACGCGACAGGCCGGCACGGCCGTCAGCCTTCAACTCCTCGGGCAGCACCGGGCGGGGACGCCACTGCGCACGCGCGGGTCACCTCACACCACTCTTCTTCGCCCTTCTTCCTCAAGCCTTGCCAGGAGCCAGCGCCCGCTCCAGGGAACATCCCGGGCTTCGACCCCAGCGATGCGCATGCGCCCTCCCACAAGGAAGGACATGCGCAGTTTCAGAAGGCTCGAGGCAGCGGGCGGGGACAGTGGGTGGACTCTCCTTTTTACTTCAGATGGCGTGAGGCAGTTTCAGGTCTTCTTTTTATATATATACAAGGCAAAAGAGTTCTTTCTCCCATATTTGGGTTGACAGGGTGCATCAAAAAGCACTCAAGATGTGTGTGTGTGTGTGTGTGTGTGTGTGTGTGTATCAGAGGTTCTCAACCTATGGGTCACGACCCCATTTGGGGTCAAACGACCATTTTATGGGGGGTCGCCAAACAATGTGATCCGTCATTTTTTCCCCTCGGGGTGGCTCCACGCACATCACACAAACGTTGAGAAACGCTGATATATATATGTATATATATATGTATGTATGTATGTATATGTATGTATGTATGTATACATATATGTATATATATATATATACATATATGTATGTATGTATATGTATATATATATGTATGTATGTATGTATGTATGTATTCCAGTTCCCAAATACATTGCGTTTGTTGCTCCTTGTTGATGTACAAAAATAGTACATGAACATTTTTTTAATGTACAAAAAATAGCTGTAGGTTTTAGAAATTATTTCTAAAATGATAAAATTATTGTTATTATTCCTAGGAAAGAAACTGCAAGAAAACGTCTACTCGGATTTAGTTCTGCCTTTTTAAACTGTGTCAGACTATCCCGTTCCCCAATATTTGAATAATGCACACGTCCCAAAATGGTTCCCCCAGAACTATGGACTGACTGGGAATACTGCAGAAAGTTTTTATTCTGTATGTTTTGGATGATCCATTCCAGAACAGAGCTTCCTATAGTGCAGTGGTGGTGAACCTATGGCACGGGTGCCAAAGGCAGCACTCAGACCGGTCCTAGGCCTTCAGCTGGGTTTTATAAAACCTTTTCAGTTTAGGCCTCCACCACCGTGTGCAAAAAAAAAAAAAAGGTTCAATCAGTCAATTTCAGCATCTTGCGGGAAAAAAAAGATCTTGCAAAGTTGGAATTGATTGATTGAACTTTTTAGTCCCACCCAGTCTGCCATTACCACCACAGCCACGCCCACCCAATGGGCCACGCCCATCCTACTGGCCACACCCAGCCATTGGGCCACACCCACACGGCACTCGACGATGCATAAGTGGGTTTTGGGTTGCAGTTTGGACAGTCTCTAAAAGTTTCGCCATCACTGCTATAGTGTATGCCATATTCTGGTGGCTGCTCCAACATTAAGTCTGTTGTTAATGTGACACATTTCTTGGAAGGGAAGGGTCAGTTGCCCTCCCTCAACAGAGGGGGAGGGATACAACATCATCTATCTCCAGTCTACAACACAGTTCTTTCAACAGTTCCAAGAAGGCTCCACACCCATTTGCACCATTCTGGTGACCCTGAGGGCCCAGGTAAACCTCCAAATGGCCTCAGCGACTCTCTAAAACAGGAGTGTCGAGCTGCCACGGGCCAGACATGTCACCAGGTAACTGTGCCCACCCCATTGCCAGCAATGGAGAAAAAACTCTGATATGTTGGGCGATGTCACGTAACGTCGCAGGTTTGACATGTCTGCTCTAAAGGAATGCAAATGACCAGCTGTCTGCAAGGAGTAGAATCCTTTCCATTTCCCCACAATCTAGTCAGAGCTGAAAAAGCATTTTGGATGAGAAGTGAAATGTCTTTAAAAAAAACAAGAAAGTCCAGTTGCCTCCTGAAAAAGCATTTTTAGGTTGCAAGCAGATTGAACGTAGGTGTGTGTGGGGGGGGAAGAAAGGTCTACACATCTCCAGAAGAGATGGTGCTGTAGGCAAGAATCCAATTTTGAGTCGAGCCATTTTATAGATTGTTCAATAGGGAAGTAGTCCTGGGAATTCATGTAGTTGGAACAACGAGATCATAACTAGGGACCCAGAGTACAGTTCCACCCGTCATCCATAACAGTGCTTTATGGAGCATAGCAAATAAGTCAGGAATGTACCCTAATTAAGTTGAATTCATGAAGAAAGGCATAAGGACAGAGCTAGAAAGACTGCACCACCTCCCCTCCACTCTCTGTATCTTTCTATTCGACAAACCAACATTCTTTTTACCAACTCCATATTCCGAGGATCTCACCTAGAGTTTCATCTAATCTACCCAGAACTCTTAATTATTTGCCTTCCTCATTATTAAGAATTCACTTATTTATGTTTAGTAATGTGTTTCCCATAAATATACTACACTAGACTGAATCACTTTCATTCACTTTGTATTCATTAGGACTCATATATTCTAAACCAGAGGCCCCCAACCTTTTGGCACCAGAGACCAGTTCTGTGGAGAAGGGTTTTTCTGCGAACCCGGAGGGTGCATGGTTTTGTGTGCTGCCTGTATCCCATGGATACACATCAATCATTCTCACTGTCCTTCAACCATAGGGTGGAGTTCCTGATTTGACATATCTCAAAAGGGAGATACTGTGAGGGAGGGAGGCCAAGAAAATATTCCTACCAGATCAGATGCTCAGCATTCTCTATGACCATAAAATGTATTTGAATATTCTCTGTATCTGATATATTCACTGAATATTCTGTTTTGGGATGTCCTGTTTGCAAGTTTGTCGATGACGTGACAGAATAAGGAGCAATAGAAACAGTACTTTAGACTGCAGTGTTTCTCAACCTTGAAAATTTTAAGGCATTGCTGGCTGTGGAATTCTGGGAGTTGAAGTCCACATGCCTTAAAATTGTCAAGGTTGAGAAACACTGCTTTAGAGAAAGACTGTTGTGGTTCAAAGCATTTGTATGTTTATTTAAGAGAATGCTTAGAATTCAATGCATGCAAAGTGTTTCAGTGGGAGAGTCCATGGAAGTTTCTGTTCCTTCCTCAGCTGCTGAATCCAGCCCCTCTCAAAGGATTCTATTAATCCAATCAAGCATTGTAGTGAGTGTTACCCTGGAAAGGAGACAATGAAAATCAAGTTGTCAACAGTAGATTTTTCAATAGTGTGCGTAATTGCTATGTGATTCCCATTGTCCATTCGAATGTGGAAATGCTCACATAACCATCTGCAGAGAAAACCATAAAAACAAAAGGCTACTTTTAGGGCACTTATTTATGAAATTTCTTTTGGTGTTTTTAACTTTCTAAATGATTACTGATTGATCCCAATGATGATCACCAGTTTCCCCTAATACTAGTTCAGGACCTAGATTGCAAAACTTCCTTACCAGTAGGTTTGCATTCTTTTAGGCATTGCTCCTCAGTTAAGAAGTTGTTTGCATTCCCTAGACATCCACTATAAAGAAACACCATACACTTCCCATGTGCTGCGTTGAAAACAAAGCGAACAGTAGGAGACCAGCACGCTCCTATTTTTGGTTGAAGTAAACATTTCTCAGGAAGAATAACTGAAAGTGAAAAGAAGAAAATAAGACAGACTGTCCTTTTTAAGGAAAGTCAAAAGATCATCACATGAAAATATATCCAGAGTGCAGGGCAACATGAATATTTGAGCATCTACTGGAAAAGTAGATCCTGAACAATCCACTCCAAACGTCAGAAAAAGTGAAAACAGTTTGCCTACCCTAACATGGCGAGAACACTCAAATTTGAGTCATTGCCACTTGCCATTAGTTCAGCTAAGAAGAGGCACGAGATCCCCATTCCTAAGATCCCAGACTTCTGGGATGGACGGAGGAGCTCATGAGAGAGGTTTCCTCCCAATTGCTTGAAGGTTAGCGTTTATATTCCAGCAGGCAGAAGGAGAAATCCCTTCTAGAGCTGGGCATTCAACACTTGGAGGAAGGGCACCTGGAAGTGGAAGTTCCCAAGACTTCACATGGACCTTCTCTTCACCCAGATTTAAGTATTTGCAGAGTCTACTTATGATGGATCCCCAAAATTGAATTTTTATTATCTTTCTATAAAGGTTGGAATCAAGTAGGTCTCTATAATTTAGCTCAATAGTAAGACTTATGAACCGCTTACAAACAAAAAGGGGGACAGCGGTGGCAGAGGAAATAGGATGAGTTAGGAGAGTAGCCAGTACACTCAAAATATGCCAGGTATATTACAGACAGTGAGTCAAACAAAGTCTCACAAATGAACAACAACTGACTGTTCCTGTGAGGAATCTATAATTTTCTTTGATTATTCAGTATTTTGCTTCATTCCAAGGTGATTCCCTTTTATTGATTGAGTGGAGACACAAAACTGCAAGAAAAATAGTAAAAAGAAGAAGGCTACCTTTATAGCACTTCTTTAGGAAATTTCTTTTTGCATTTTTACCATTTTAAAAGATCTGATTTTGCTGATTCCACCCACTTTTAAGCTCCTCTCCCTAGTTCAGGGCCTGGATTGAAGAACTGAGATCAAGGTAACTTTGGGACTCGAGCTTTCAGATCAATGATTGCCGGACAAGACTAAAATGCCATTGTTCCAAAGGCAAAGATTTAAATGTCTTCCTTACTTGAATTTTGACATGTAGCTCTGCACTGAAGCCAATATAGAAAGTTGTTTTTATTTCCTCCACATCCACCATAATAGAATTCCTCACAGTTCTTAGTTGCTGTGTTATAATAAAAACGAGGAAAGGAACCTCTGCACCGTCCTACTTCTACATTCTGCAAACATATCGCTTGAGGGTCACCTGAAAGTGAAAAGAAGAAAATTAAGACAGACTGTCCCTGAAGATCATTGCATGAATATATATTGGGTTCTGACTCCAGAGTGCAGGGCAATGTGAATACTTGAGCATTTACTGGAAAAGTAGATCTGCTCCAACTTCAGAAAAAGTGAAAACAAGTTGCCAGCCCTAACATAGATCGAAAACTCCAATTTGAGTCATTGCCAGTTGTTATTAGAAGTCCTCAAAGAATTGAATTGCAGACACAAGCTGCTGTACCCCTAAGAAGAGGCACCAACCCCCATTCCTGAGATCCCAGATTCCTGGGATGGGCTGAGAAAGTCATCAGGGAGAACTTTTGTCCCGTTTGCTTGAAAGTTGGGGCTTGTATTCCAGCAGAAAGACGAAGAAAATGCTTCTGGAACTGGGAATTCAACACTGGGAGGAGGGAAACATGAAGGTGGAGGGGAAGGTGGGCCATTCTCTTTCCTCCTCTTCCAAAGAGTTTGCAAGTACCTTCTCTTCAACCAGGTCTAAGTATTTGTGGTGTCTGCTTAAGGTTGGAAAATTCATATATTGTTTATTTTCCAGTTCCCAAATACATTGCTCTGAATCTGTTGCTTCTTGTTGATCTACGAAAAACAGTAGCTGTAGGCTTTAGGAAAAAATATTTGCTATAGCTTTGCTATTAAAGTTTTTTATATATATATTTGTGTGCCAAAAAAAGATTTCAATTTCTTTCTTACCAACGCTTTGGCATTGTTTTATGCATTCGTTCAAAGTTAAGAAATTATTGGCATTCCCTCCACATCCACTATAAGTGAACATCATACATGCCGCTTTTGGTGGGTAGAAAAAATAGCGAAGAGAAGGAGACATACACCATCCTATTGTAGGTGTATATGTACATTTCGCGGGATACACACCTGAAAGTAAAAAGAAGAAAATAAGACAGTCTCTTTAAAGGAAACCCACAAGTTCATTCCATGAAAATAAACTGTTCTGACTCCAGTGTCCAGGGCAATGTGAATATTTGAGCATCGAACTGGAAAAGAAGATCCTGATTACTATCTGCTCCAAATCTCATAAAAAGTGAAAATACTTTGCCCTAACATAGTACGAACATTCAGATTTGAATCATTGCCAATTGCCATTGGAAGCCCTACAAGGACTGAAGTGCAGCCTGATAGACTTAAGCCAATCTACCCCTAAGAAGATGACTAGCACTTCCATTCCTGAGATCCCAGACTTCTGGGATGGACTGAGATAGTCATTAGGAAGAGCTTTCGTCCCTTTTGCTTGAAGGTTAAACTGAAGGAGAAACCTTTCTGGAACTGGGCATTCAACACTGGGAGAAGGGGCACCTGGAAGTGGAGGGGTGATGGGGCCAGCCTCTTTCCTCCTCTTCCAAAGACTTCACATATACCTTCTCTTCAATCTGGTTTAAGTATTTGTGGCGTCTGCTTAGAGTTGGAAAAATCACATGTTTATATTCCAGTTCCCAAATACATTGCTCTGCATCTGTTGCTCCTTGTTGATGTACAATAAACAGTAGCTGTAGGTTTTAGGAAGAATATATTATTCATAGGATAATATATAAAGGAATATACCTAAAAGGATATGCAACAAAATTCCACTCAGATTTTATTTAATCTTTTTATACTGTGTCAAGATCTCCACTTCCCCAAATTTGAAAAATGCTCACATCCCAAAATGATTACCCAGAACTAAGACCGACAGAGAATGCTGAAGTAAAGGGACTTTTATTCTGTTTGTTTCCAATGATCTACTCCAGAAACTGACTTCCTAAACTAAATCCCATGTGTTAAAGGTCCCTCCAACATCAAGTGGGTTCTTCATGTGATTATATCTTGGAAGACAAAGGGGCAGTGGCACGCGGAATGCACATAAGTTTGGAAGGAAAAGAAAGTTCTTGCTACCTACCTATAGAAGAGGCATCCCGAAAGCAGAAAATGAGCAGTCCAAAACTGAGGAGCATGCAGTTTGAATGAATCATGGTGATGAAAACAAGTATCCAATGCTGAGTAAAGTAATTTTATAGATTGTCCAACAGTGAAGTACACCTGGGCATTCATGTGGTTAGAGCACTAAGGTCCAGTTCCCCAATATCTGATTAATGCTCACAACCAAAAATGGTTACTCCAAGGATCGACTGGGAACACTACTGAACAATGAGTGTTATTAGGAGTCAATAAACCTCTTCAGAATGAGGGACTGACTTCTTAAAAGTTTATTGACTTCTAAAGTCAATCCCTCGTTCATGTTGTTGGAACAAAGAGGTCATACTTAGTGATCCTGAGTACAGTTCCACCCGTCATCCATAAACAGGTCTACACAGAGCATGGCAAATGAGTAAGCAATTGTACCTTAATTAAAGTGAAGGCATGAGGGAAGAGATAAAAAGGAAAGAGGTATAATTACTTAGCACCATTTCCCCTCCCTTATTATCTTTCTCTCCTTGCAAACCACCTTTATTTTTACAAGCTCCATACTCTGCTATATATTTACACAATGAAAGTTCTCATCTTTTTGGTTCCATAGTCTTGTCTAATCCAACCATGACTCTAACTCTGTGTCGCCTCATGAACAATTTGCTTTTTCTTCATTTACTCCTTTTGCAATTTCATTCCCATTTATTTGCACTACCTAACTGAATCACTTTAATTCACTTTTGTATTCATTCATTCCACAACACAAAGTCTTGACCTTATTCCTTGTTGCTCTACCATACAAATAGTTAAGCTTCCTGGGGTGTCCCTGCCAGGCTTCCCAGCTTTCAGTTCCATATAACAAAGTAGACAAAAGCACACTCTTATTACAGTCATTTTTCTCTTACTTCATGATTTATAGGCGAGCACAAACTTTTATCCTACTGTCTACCAGCATTTGAATATGTTCAAATTTTAAAATGTTCTCCTATTTTAGTACACATTTTTTCACATTTATGGCCAGCTCTACCTCTGATAAGGAGACCAACAATGAGCATTCCAGAAAACCTGGAAGAACTGCTGCCTGAGTTGCTGAAGGAAGACAAAGTTGTGCTGTCCAGACATTTGTGCGTGTGATGCTGGTGCTGCTATTGCTATCTGAAGATGAGGAGTTTGAGCAAGGGTGCACCACTCGGACAGTAGAGCAGAGCAGAGCAAGAACATTCTGCAAGACTCCTTGCAAAAAAGGAACCTCATTCCTTCAAATAAGCAACACTGGGACCGTTTTTATTTAAGAAGAGCATAGAGTTCAAGCCTCTCCATTGGCAACAACCGATTGCTTACCATTCCCCGTGTGCCTTTCCTTCTGATCTGAACCTTGTGACTTTGACTCTGGCCTCATGTAACCCCCCCCTCCCCACCCCAGCAAAACCAGACTGGAAAAATTGTGAGCTTATTCCACTTTATTGTAAGGCTGCGTTAAGAGAATCTTGCAAGTCAAAAAGTACGAATTTCCCACTGTCTCATTTTAACCACCTGATAAGTTAGTGTGAACCTCTTCTAAATTTCTTTTTCTTAGTTATGGGCTTCCCCTGGCATTTATCTGATCCTTAACTAGGTAGCAATTTTTTCTCTCATTTTCCAAGATCATTCCAATGTACCATTACATCACTCTCACTCCCCTTCTCCCAAATTCCCAAGGGAAACAAGTTGAGGGCTATGAGAGGGAAATTTTATTATTTTTATTTGTTTGCATTGTAGGAAATGCAGCCGGACTTTGGTGGTGCTTTTATTGTTAGCCGCCCAGAGTCCTGCAGGAGTGGGGCGGCTTATAAATTTTAAAAATAAATAAAATAAATAAAAATAAATGTATATGTGTATGTGTATATATGTGTGTGTGTGTGTGTGTGTGTGTGTATGTATGTATGTATGTATGTATATATATGTACGTATGTATTCCAGTTCCCAAATACATTGCTCTGCATTTATTGCTCCTTGTTGGTGTACAAAAATAGTACATGAACATTTTTTAATGTACAAAAAAATAGCTAAAACGATAAAATTATTATTATTCATAGGAAAGAAACTGCAAGAAAACTTCTACTTGGATTTAGTTCTGCCTTTTTAAACTGTGTCAGACTATCCTGTTCCCCAATATTTGAATAATGCACACATCCCAAAATGGTTCCCCCAGAACTATGGACTGACTGGGAATACTGCAGAAAGTTTTTATTCTGTATGTTTTGGATGATCCATTCCAGAACAGAACTTCCTATAGTGCAGTGGTGGTGAACCTATGGCACGGGTGCCAGAGGCAGCACTCAGACCGGTCCTAGGCCTTCAGCTGGGTTTTATAAAACCTTTTCACTTTAGGCCTCCATCACCGTGTGCAAAAAAAAAAAAAAAAGGTTCAATCAGTCAATTTCAGCATCTTGCGGGAAAAAAAAAGATCTTGCAAAGTTGGAATTGATTGATTGAACTTTTTAGTCCCACCCAGTCTGCCATTACCACCACAGCCACGCCCACCCAATGGGCCACACCCATCCTACTGGCCACACCCAACCATTGGGCCACACCCACACGGCACTGGACGATGCATAAGTGGGTTTTGGGTTGCAGTTTGGACACTCAGTCTCTAAAAGTTTCGCCATCACTGCTATAGTGTATGCCATATTCTGGTGGCTGCTCCAACATTAAGTCTGTTGTTAATGTGACACATTTCTTGGAAGGGAAGGGTCAGTTGCCCTCCCTCAACAGAGGGGGAGGGATACAACATCTATCTCCAGTCTACAACACAGTCCTTTCAACAGTTCCAAGAAGGCTCCACACCCATTTGCACCATTCTGGTGACCCTGAGGGCCCAGGTAAACCTCCAAATGGCCTCAACGACTCTCTAAAACAGGAGTGTCAAGCTGCCACGGGCCAGACATGTCACCAGGTAACTGTGCCCACCCCATTGCCAGCAATGGAGAAAAAACTCTGATATGTTGGGCGATGTCACGTAACGTCGCAGGTTTGACATGTCTGCTCTAAAGGAATGCAAATGACCAGCTGTCTGCAAGGAGTAGAATCCTTTCCATTTCCCCACAATCTAGTCAGAGCTGAAAAAGCATTTTTAGGTTGCAAGCAGATTGAACGTAGGTGTGTGTGGGGGGGAAGAAAGGTCTACCCATCTCCAGAAGAGATGGTGCTGTAGGCAAGAATCCAATTTTGAGTCGAGCCATTTTATAGATTGTTCAATAGGGAAGTAGTCCTGGGAATTCATGTAGTTGGAACAACGAGGTCATAACTAGGGACCCAGAGTACAGTTCCACCCGTCATCCATAACAGTGCTTTATGGAGCATAGCAAATAAGTCAGGAATGTACCCTAATTAAGTTGAATTCATGAAGAAAGGGATAAGGACAGAGCTAGAAAGACTGCACCACCTCCCCTCCACTCTGTATCTTTCTATTCGACAAACCAACATTCTTTTTACCAACTCATATTCCGAGGATCTCACCTCTTTCTTTCTAGAGTCTCATCTAATCTACCCAGAACTCTTAATTCTTTGCCTTCCTCATTATTAAGAATTCACTTATTCATGTTTAGTAATGTGTTTCCCATAAATATACTACACTAGACTGAATCACTTCCATTCACTTTGTATTCATTAGGACACATATATTCTAAACCAGAGGCCCCCAACCTTTTGGGCACGAGGGACCAGTTCTGTGGAGAAGGGTTTTTCTGCGAACCCGGAGGGTGCATGGTGTTGTGTGCTGCCTGTATCCCATGGATACACATCAATCATTCTCACTATCCTTCAACCATAGGGTGGAGTTGAAGTCCACATGCCTTAAAATTGTCAAGGTTGAGAAACACTGCTTTAGAGAAAGACTGTTGTGGTTCAAAGCATTTTTGTGTTTATTTAAGAGAATACTTAGAATTCAATGCATGCAAAATGTTTCAGTGGGAGAGTCCATGGAAGTTTCGGTTCCTTCCTCAGCTGCTGAATCCAGCCCCTCTCAAAGGATTCTATTAATCCAATCAAGCATTGTAGTCAGTGTTACCCTGGAAAGGAGACAATGAAAATCAAGTTGTCAGCAGTAGATTTTTCAATAGTGTGCGTAATCGCTATGTGATTCCCATTGTCCATTCAAATGTGGAAATGCTCACATAACCATCTGCAGAGAAAATCATAAAAACAAAAGGCAGCTTTTAGGGCACTTATTTATGAAATTTCTTTTGGTGTTTTTAACTTTCTAAATGATTACTGATTGATCCCAATGATGATCTCCAGTTTCCCCTAATACTAGTTCAGGACCTAGATTGCAAAACTTCCTTACCAGTAGGTTTGCATTCTTTTAGGCATTCCGCCTCAGTTAAGAAGTTGTTTTCATTCCCTAGACATCCACTATAAAGAAACTCCATACACTTCCCATCTTCCGCGTTGAAAGCATAGCGAACAGAAGGAGACCAGCATACTCCTAATGCTGGTCCAAGTAGACATTTCTCAGGAACTAAAACTGAAAGTGAAAAGAAGAAAATAAGACAGACTGTCCTTTTTAAGGAAAGTCAAAAGATCATCACATGAAAATATATCCAGAGTGCAGGGCAACATGAATATTTGAGCATCTACTGGAAAAGTAGATCCTGAGCAATCCACTCCAAACGTCAGAAAAAGTGAAAACAATTTGCCTACCCTAACATGGCGAGAACACTCAAATTTGAGTCATTGCCACTTGCCATTAGTGCAGCTAAGAAGAGGCACGAGATCCCCATTCCTAAGATCCCAGACTTCTGGGATGGACGGAGGAGCTCATGAGAGAGGTTTCCTCCCAATTGCTTGAAGGTTAGGGTTTATATTCCAGCAGGCAGAAAGAGAAACCCCTTCTAGAGCTGAGCATTCAACACTTGGAGGAAGGGCACCTGGAAGTGGAAGTTCCCAAGACTTCACATGGACCTTCTCTTCACCCAGATTTAAGTATTTGCAGAGTCTACTTATGATGGATCCCCAAAATTGAATTTTTATTGTCTTTCTATAAAGGTTGGAATCAAGTAGGTCTCTATAATTTAGCTCAATAATAAGACTTATGAACCGCTTACAAACAAAAAGGGGGACAGCGGTGGCAGAGGAAATAGGATGAGTTAGGAGAGTAGCCAGTACACTCAAAATATGCCAGGTATATTACAGACAGTGAGTCAAACAAAGTCTCACAAATGAACAACAA